GATAATTTAATTTTTTTATATAATAATGAAGGTAAAGACAGTATTGTGAAGTATACAACTTACCTGGGCAGACGTTAGGTCACAACTTGCGATGCTTCTCCACCTCCATGTAATACGGCTTCCTTGCGTGACCACACGTAACCCAATTTACTTTGACCAATAGAATGCCCTCTTCAGAATATCTATTATTATCTAGTACTAGGTACTTGGTATGTTCTATGTGATTAATTTTATTTCAATGCGTTCATTGATTTTTTTTTCTACATGAAGAAAAGTCTGTAAGTAAAAGTTGCAACCTTATGTTTTAGAATAAACTAATCAATACGCATACAGATGCAAAAATTAGATCCGACGGAGAGAGAAGGACGGTGACGCATTCATAACTTTACTGGTGTTGCGGGTGTCCATAGGAGAAGGCTCATCGCCAACCGCCAGGTGATAAGTAAGGTCGTTGGCCTTCTATGGCATAAAAAAATATTTATGCTCATATTTAATTTTGCGCCATCTATGTTTGCACGTGTGCACTAGATAGTCTAGTATTGATCCAGTTGCACTAAATCGATATCATGTAGGTAATGTAAACACACGGTTTTGCGCATAATTTGAGAACTAGGACGTTCATAGTTCAGGGTTTTGAGGATAGGTCACATTTATTTATCGATTTGTAATACTACTTACCTAATGACGATAAATAGTCATAATAGAAACGATTACAAGGCAAGGTATGTAAATTAATCATCAATTTAGTTCATCAGATAACTATTAGGCACGTATTTTTTTGTTTTGTCGAAAATAGAAATGAATTCTATATATTCCATCGAATGACTGCTCTCCTCTGAGTGAGGCGGGAGGGAGTGTCAGACTGACTAAAAACCACCCCGTTCCTTCTCCTGCACGTCGAGCGCGAGCCTAACGTAACGTGGTTAACTACACACGCACTCATAAATAACCCACTGACATTTTGGTGCTTCAATCATTCCTAAGTGACATAATACCCCACTATTATGTCAAATTTCTCTCTTTTTGCTTTGTATTGGACTGTAAATTCCACCAAAATGTTTGGTCTTCGGTACTAAAGTAACGATTACTCCATTCAATGCACTCATTCATGTTTCTTTCATACAGTTATAGCTCTTTATGACCATTAGTTATTTCTCCAAGTGCAAGTTAATGAATTCTAGCCATCCTACATCGTATATCAGGCTCATTGGAAATAATTGGATGCTGGTTCCAGTTACTTTTTAACTATGGAATATATTGTTTTCAGTTTGTCATCGTAACTATCAATGGTATCGGAGTATCGACTGTTATTTAAGTAGTTATTAGTGCCATTTATTTTGGATAATTATCATCTGTGCAAAGGTAATTTAAAACAATAACCTTTTGCTTGCCTTTAAGTCTTGTGTTTCGTTTTCTCGGGGTAGTATAGCGATGAAAAAGAATATAAGTATTTGTCACGTCTACTTATCTCGTGGGTCTGACTATGAGTCGAAGCTACACATTTTATAAAGACCGGACAGCAGCGCTTCTTGATAAACAGCAATCAGTTGCTGTTCAATATCTTCAGGATACTATGACAAATTCTCGTATGAAGATGAGGCCTATAGTCCAACAGCGCATTGCCTTGATAACCTAAATAATTCATATTAGTTTATTGGCTATTGCCAAACAGACAGTGTAACAAGACAATCGGCGAAGCGTCACCGTTTCATGGTAGATGTCCCACCCACACGCACGAAGCGCCTTGCAACATGCTTCCTTGTGCGTACTGCTAACGAGTGGAATTTTTTGTCAGAGTCTATGTTTCCTAAAGGGAAGGGAACCCTTTCCCCTTCCTAGGAAGGGCACCTGGGAGTTTTCAGGGCCCGAATAGTTGCTTATGGGTAGACGTCCTCCATCGTAGGCCGCATCATCGGTTACCACCAGGCGAGATAGTGATCAAAGGTCGGCCCATTAAATGTATAAAAAAATCATGGAGTGTTTTAAAATAATTCCAAAATATAGATACTGCAATTAACTCGAGAATACTTTCTCCAGTCAGGGAATCGGAACCGCTTTCAAAAAATTATGACCGCGATCAATCCTGATCCAATTAATAAATGTATATTTTATAAAGGTTCAATTATTTTGCTACTAAATTGCGTATTCGTTATATAGTAGATATATTATTTGTTTAACTCGTCGAGTACCGTATTTATAGACACAATTAAAGAACAATAGGTTGCGGTCACCGGTGACCGCTTGGTGTTTGACAGTTTAATAATGTAATGTGCACCTCTATCTACCCCTTCGGGAGTAAAAGGTGTGATGGCATGATGTTATGGAATGAAATAAACAACATTGGCGTGTGTAACTAAAATATTCTCGTTATTTAATTTACTACGGTAAGAACACATTTTTACAGAATGTTATTTTCTAAACAATATCTACATAAAATTGTACAAGTATGTGAAAACTTATCAAATACTTTTTTAATTTACAATTAACAGAGAAAAATCAATATTCAAGTTCAACAATATTAAGTTAAGCTTTATTTACTATTAAGACTTAAATTCTAGTTTACTATTTACAATTTCTTTTTTTAATCCTTAACAAAGTCATGTTTTTACAAATTAATATTTCGAATCGGTCTTTTGGTGTTTCTTAGATCTGTCATAATTTCCCAAGCAACTTGGTATAAAGTTTGAAAATTGTATTTAAATGAACGAAAATGGCAAAATGTCTTTTCACAACTTTGTTGGCAAAAACAGTTCCTATTCTACTACATATTTGTGCTAATTTCAGTTAACAGAGCTAAGAAACACTCAAACTACGTATTAAGTAAGATACCTACTTGCATTGATATTTAATATTTTAAGGCAATTCGGACCTTCGCCGATAATATCACAACGATTCTATACTACAAGTGGTTCTCAAGAAAATATTTATAAAAATACAATTTGTTCAAGTTACGTATAGGTTAGGCAGCAGTTTGTGGACGATTTTTTGTCATGCATCGTTTGACTTATAATCTAACGTTTTTTATTTACAGAGAATTGAGACACACGAACTTAGATAAACATTCTGTACTGTTAAGTATGCAGTGTAGAGCAAAAAGGTTTTTCCAAAAAGGTAAGTACGTGTAATTTCTAAGACCGGTGTCTCAATCCTAAAGATTTTAAAATGGAAAACGCATTGGAAGACAGCGTTCTCAACGTGCCTACTTAAGACAAAACAGACAATTATCACATAGAATAAACCTAAACGATTCCTTGAAATCACAATCCTTAAAATTAAATTGTTCCCCAATTACAATTAACGTCAATATCGACGTCGATTAACACGAAAAAACGATAAAAATCAGGTATAATAGGTAACGTTCGAAAGAGAATTAAATTAACTCGACAATTTCAGTTTACTCTAGTTTTGAACAACTCGTTGGTAACTTTAGTTTTATTGAAGTAATAATTAAACAACAATCATTGCATTGACAAGTATCCGCACGAATTAAGTCAATAATATTATAATTGGAATTCCAAAATAAAAGTACGTATAAAAGGATTGTAAAAAATGAGTATTACGGATAATATTCTCCAATTGAGTACAGTATTGAACTGGCTTACTGAAATAAACTTTTTTATAGAATTGATACAATACAATCTACTGTTGGCTAAAAAACTTTTGGCATCGTACTGACGAAACAATCGATCGCTAATTTTGTATACTTTGTATAATAGATTAGAAGCCTTAATTAAGATGAACATCCAGCCTTCACTACAATAATAGCTTTAATATAACTGGCCACAGTAACGTGTTCGATAAAAAGCGACATCGAAAATAAGTTTCGAAGATTTTTAATAAAGCTAAGGTACTAGTGATACAAATATCCATTTGAAAATAATGCCTGGTAAGCTTCCTATTAACACTAAAGTAAATTAATCCAAAAATAAGAATATATTCAAGCATCATAAAGTTCGCAACGGAATTATAGAAATGGTTATAGAAAATTGAACGTTAGTAATTACAGATGAGATTATTAAATTGGTACCTACATACTTTAAGTTTAACAAAATCAAAATCATTTCAGGTCCCTTTAATTTCTCTTAATTGTACACCAAAACGTTTATTTTTATTGCTTTACAAATCTTTGGTGCTTATCCACATTGCAAAATCGGCACGAACGATTGGAAGGATGTGCATACTATAAATTATAATATTACGAACACATTTTTTTTTCTAAAAGTTACATAAAGTGAATAAAACCTAATATTGAGATTGTAAATGTCTTAAAAAGCTGCGAAATGTTCAAGTCAGATGGTTTGGAACAAAGTGGGAGCAATGACCCTGAACTGAATAACACAGCAAGAAGTCTTTTACATAACAATTAAATTATTTAATGAAGTTACTAGAAGCACCAAAGTACTGTTGTGATGAATCGGTACCAATCGTAATGTGTACAACTTACAACTGTTGAAATCTTAGTTCCAATTCTGACTAGATCTATTGACTGTATACTCGTAAAGTATAAAGTCAATATGAACCCATGCTAACGCCACAGTAGATTCATCAAGATACTGATTTAAATTAGGAGGTAGTTTATGTGACGATATCTGTTTAGGTCTACACATACTTCGCAACTTTCTTTGACAAACGTGTCTATTTTCTATGCTTAAGGAATTAATGTGTCGGTGGCTTTTAATAATATTTACGCTAATGAAATACATCTTTCAAATAAATACTATCTTGGAAGGTGTTGGTCCCGGATTATAATTTTTAAACAAATTATAACAATTTGGACCCATTCGGCAAACATGTGATTTTTTATTAGTCATCAACATCACACCCGCAGTCATCGCCTACGGATGCCTCACTATGAGTATCGCTCTGCGATATCACATGTCTTATAACTAACGCTTAACATTATATCCTTCTAAACACATATCACAATTGAACTCTCATGACGAGAGATGAAGTTTTTAAAGTCCAAAGTTACGCGAGCGCCCGCGTCAGGAGAGCGGGCGTCATTCGTGTAGGTTCTTACTGAGAAGCAAACTGTTGTGTGGTCCTGATAAGTGCCGGATGAGTTCTGGTAACGCTTCGAAGGTGAGCTGACAGAAACAGCAATTGAACCGTCCCGGCGTGTTGGTCCGTCCATCATTCTCGCTGGACGATATCACATTGCGATGAACCGAACACAAATGTTTCAGCAAATGGGCCTTCTGTTTGAACATAGCGACGCACAGTCGACAAGCGAACGGTTTCTCTCCAGTGTGCACTCGTAAGTGAGTCTTGAGATTCCACGACATACCGAACTGCTTGCCACAATATTCACAGCGATACTCTCGAACTGGTGCTTGTTTACTCGAACCTTGATCGTGTTCAGGCGTGGGTGTGTCATCTCCACCCATTTGTGGTTGACATAGCCACGGACCCCACGAACCCGCACTAGGAGGTCGGTATTTGAGAGCGTCCTCGTGCGTTGCTGTGGGGGGAGTGGCACTCCTTTCAGGTAAGTACGGCGGCGCTGACGTGCTCAGTGGATGTAATACTCCGAGCCGAGCACTGGCTACTGCGGCGGCACTGCCAGGTCCCTGTGTGTATCGGAGGTGTGCCATTTCTTCTAAGTAACTCGGGGGGAATGATACAAATGGAGGATTCTGTGACGGTGAATTGTGGAAGCCGGGTCTTCGTTTTCGATGAGGCGTGACGACATAGTTTTCTGGAGAAGTCTGCACCAATGATATAAGGTCCTGGTCGGGTGGCTTAAGATGTGCGTAATCCTCTAACTTGACAGTTCGTAAATCTAACTCTGGGGGTTCTAAGTAATGTGATTTCCTTTTGGCTCTTTCGATTCCTCGTCCTAATCGATCACTGAGCAACTGTCTCCGGTAGTGGGTCTCTTGTGGTTGATCATCTTGACTTGACGATGTTGACCTTCTTCTTGCAATGTTCTGTAATAGAATAAATAGAAATGGTCAGTGATTATTACTACTTAAGTGCATAAAAATACTTCGTTTGTATTATAGAAATGTATTTACCTTTGCCGCAACCGTTTCTACATCAACGTCTTGTGAGTCGTCATGTTCACTGCCTGTGTTTTCTGAATTCCTTGCAAGTGATAAGTTGACCGGGTTTGAAGAGCTTCTTCGTCTTGCCATAAGTCGTCCGCATTCCTTGTCCCTGTTTTCTCCGTCTTGTTCTTCTTCCTCTCTTTCATCGTTGCTACTGGTCGACATATTTTCTTTCTTTATGCTCATGCTTTCATCTTTGTCTTTGCTGTAACCCGCGCCAGGGGTAACGAGCTCACTCTCAGAATGTGAAGATCCTGAGGGTGCATCGTGTTTACTGCTCTCATTGCTGTTGATATCTGTTTTCAATGATTTTGATTTTAATCTGTCGCACGATCGGTTCCGTTCTTCAGCCTGTTGTCGTTCCTTTGTTGATTTCCAAACGTCTGATTTTATTTCCAATAACTCGAAAAGCTCTTGCATATCATCTATTTCACCAGACTGTAAAAGAAAAACACAATGTTTAATATCCTGTTGAATTATTAATGTAAATGTTTTGTTGGAGTCCGACGCGTTACTTGGAAACTAATTAATGTTATGATAATACAGTAATGTGTAGTGAATAAATAAAACAGCTTGGATACTAACCTCAATGTAGGCTTGGCCGCTGTACAAGAATACAAGGAGATGCCTCATGAGAGTACTGCTGATCCCCGACATGTGAATCGTGACCGGACTCTCGACAGATGGCGTATCATCTAGTATTTTCCTGGAAATTAATTAAATTAACATTATTACTGAGTAAATTAGAAATAGATGATTATCTATTTTATTCAATTTAGTTTTCAATAACATACATAAAGATATAATATCCTGGTTTAAAGTCCAAACAAAACTATGTATTTCTTTCGTGTACTTATTGCCTTACACCTACAAGATACCGGTTGCTTCTGTGTCATTGGATTGGCTTACCAATTAACCTTATTAAATAATTAAGATTAGATTACAGTGATGTCTATTCGAGAACTATTGTACTACTCGCCGTGAAAATAGCTAAAGTCATGACGTGATGCATTAATGAAAGTCGTTGATGTGGTATCAGGTGCTAATTGAACTTGAACAATTGGAATGTTGAGACGTAATAGAAAATAGTTTTCAAACCGAATGTGGATTCAGTGGCCTGTCTCCGCTTAGACTACAAATCATACACAACTATCCAGAAGATGATTATCATAGTGAACAAGTGTATGCGTAATACAGATGCACTCTTTGTTCTAGCAGTCTCGTGAAAAGTATGAGGAAGTAAAGATTACCTGATAAGTGGGCTAGCGGCGGCCATGACGATCCTGTGCGCGGCCAGCGGTACAGCGTCGTCGCAAACCAGAACTAGGTCTGAGTAGCGGGCTCCACGCCACGCTGCTCCCACCTCGTTCAGGATGCAGGCGTGGTGCTTGCCGTACGTCAGAGTCAGCAAGCCCTCGCCCATCATTCCAGCACTGGAATAGAAATATATTATAAGAAAATAGAAATGGCAAACAACTAGTAAAAGTTAAGATGAATACAATAGTCAAGTTAAAACTGTAATAATATTTGTAAATCACATTATACAATAAAGTTATACATAAATATGAAATTAAGAGAAAGTGAAGAGCTATTCGAATATATACATTAAGAGCTAATGAGCCATTTGATTTTACATTTCAATGGAAGATTTTTTCCTTAAAAATAAACCCATCAATATCGTTGAAATTGAAAGAGTTAAACAATAAAACTTGTATAAAAATCACAAAAGCTATCTTGACTATCATTGTGCTCCTAGTTTTTACAATTGTGTGAAATTCGAGTCGTAACAAATACCTATTGTACTTGACTAACGTGTGAAGACATGAAATCATTATTATAATCTAAGTTTTTGTTGTCAGTTACAGTCATAAGGAAGTGCAGCTATTAAAATCCAAAGTTGATTGAGTTAAAAACATAACAATTAATGGAATCGATTAACAAAATGATCAATTTCGTTAGCCGCTGTGTTTCTATGCATAATGTTATCTAATTGGAAGATGAGTTCAATTATTCCTTCGTGATCAGACGCGTTGTATAATTCAACACGTAAATAAGTGAAATCAGACCGAAACTGAGGTTCGTCATTACGTTCTCGGTTCATTAGCCTTGTTCTATGCCAGACTGAAATCTGCTGTTTAAAGGAAGACAAGGCTGCAGCCAGCCGACTGTTACGATAACAAATGATTCAATATCAATGCTCGCGAAATTGAAATCGATATCTGCGGTAAAATCTAACGTTCACATACACCATTTACTGCAGACAACGACACAATAGCTTTAACCAAACAATTCTAGTTTCTCAACCAAATTAAAAAGGTTAAAAGGTGAGAAGAATTTAAATTAACGTGAACAGCTGACGTGTTCTTGGATTGCCAAAAGTAGCAACAGTAGTCCCAGTCGCAGGTGTTAGAAAGCCTGTTGCAATAGGACCTTGGCCCGATAAAGCATCGCAACGTGCTATTAGCGTTGCGATAGAAGCGCAAGATCGTTTAAAAGACGATCAACAAGCGCTTCTTTTGCATTGTGTCGGAGTTTAGCAACGGTGGGGTCACAGCCAGTGGAATAAGACTCATTGTTGTCGGCAACTTCTGCTCTATTGTTGCACTGTTTCACTCAAAAGTCATATTTAATTGCGCTGGTATAAAAGTGCAACGAGGGACAAGTAAGCGTGTGCGCACACGGTGGAATGTTCTCGCACAAGATGATCTTGATCGCAAGCCATGTCACGACTTCGTAATGATTTCGTTTTCAATTGTTTGCGTCGTGCGTTTACGTTTCCAAGCAATGTTACAATTAAATGAATATAAAACATCTGAGTTAATAAACAATTATTGCCTACATAATACGTTTGTACAACTGGCATGGATTTGTCTCTTATTAAGGACTTCATGGTCAAATATAGCACAATGTCTAACTAAAATGTATGTAAAACAATTATTCGTACATACACAATTTGTTTTTCTTGGTACTTATTAGAAACTGGATAAAATTACATATGAGTCGGCAATGTTAGCATTTCCTTGAGCGCGGGAAATGAGCAGTCACTGAGACGAATTAAGTACTTTGTGTCTGTTCTGTACATGGTCACAAAAAATGAGATATGTACCTATTATGTTGAAAACCGTGATGCTAAATTTTCCTTGGGTAATGAGTGTGGGTGAGTCGGTTTTAATGAGGCTGTAATTGAAGGCCGAACAATTAAAACCAAAATATATAATGTAGCCGCCATGATCACGAAGGATTTAAAAATCAATGATCGAATATTTCGCCGAGTTCGTGCTCGAAATATTTATAATGAACGTGGAACTAATCGAAGGTTAAAAACGCTAGTAAAAGTAACAAGTCTTGAAGATGTATTGAGAACTTGTTATTATTTTTACTTTCAATCGCTAAAATTTTAAAGTTTTATCTATTATTCTAATAGTTTCTATTTACGTACATTCAAATTAAAATTAATAATATTGTTTCACTTTCCTTGTTTATTTTTGTATTAACATAAATAGACCAAACTAGTATCAGACAAAACCTGTTAGAATATAATTTAAATAAATCTTTATGCTGAGAATTGAAATAATCAGCTTTTACAACTTCCTGATCTGATCCAATCAAGTTTACAAAAATGTTTATTTGATTAAGTCACTCTTGACGTAATGAAAATGCATTTTAACAAAATTCTATGTTAGGAATTTTCTGCCCATTTACAGTATCTTTACAACATGGGCGTATGGTGTCCTTGGGCGGCCGTGGGCGGGACTAAAGGCAACACTAAAGCGACTATCTAAATCGTATGCGTACTAAAGTGGATACATAGTGCTATTTTCAGGATTGGAGGCAGCGGTGCGCGTCTGGCTCACCCGCCATTGTCCGTGCGTAGCCGGTCGAAACGATGCAGTTCCCATGTTTTGCATCAAATTAGCGTTATCTAGGGTTGCCTGCTGAAGCCAGTTCAAGGCTTTTCGAATGGACGTTGATAGCCCTTTGTTATTTTCGCCTGAATCTCATTGACACTGCATTATTACTTTTAAAGTAACATTTATTTAAAATTCATCTTGTGCAACGTCTGCCGGTTCAATGTCGATAGGGTTTTCAGAATTTGTTTGCAATGTTCATGAAGGTTCAATAACAATGGTTAAGTTCATTGAATTCATTATTAGAAACTTTTTCTATATCTAATCTATTTCAGGGTTGTACACGATTGTGTCGATGACTCAAAGAGGTTGTCAATAGGCGCATTGTAATTAGTTTTCGCTTCGTTGCATCAAAGGGAAAATTACTTGATCGACGATTTTGTTTGGTACTAGGTAGAATATGTTCAACCGAGAGGAGTAAGTTATAATAATATAGTTCTTTGTTTATTGAGTATCAATCATTTTGAGTTGATTTGAATATCCAAGGTCAGACCAAGAATAGACCGGTGTTTTGTTAGAATTGTTAAAGTATCGTATGGTTCATTTTTGATATTTTATTCAACAGAAACGAAGGTAAGTAACGTTGCATTGTAAATTAGTTCTTATTCAAATTTTGGTTTCAGTTGTCTTGTAGCATGCATTAAATATAAGCCTTTAAAGCATTTTTGTATTGGTTTTGCAAGTGTAAATTTCCAGTAGTCTAGAAAATTCCATGCAAAGTTGCATGTTAATTTTCTTTTTGATGGCAACCCTAATTGCAGCAGGTTGTAGTTTCAGTATAATATCTGCATGCTACTGCTACTTCCTTGATAGCGATCTTTTATCCAAAGAAGTTTCCACAAGTGTTTTTTTAATTTCGGTTTATCAAACATTCATATCAACAAATGTGAAGGTAAAATTAAACGTAATCACTGAAAACAATTGAAACCTGAAACTTTATTTAAATACAAGTATGTATATACAGCTGCCCTCTAGGGTCGCTATCCATCTACAAACACTTTCTCTTTCCCAACCAGTTTACTATAGATCACGCTAGATGGCGTTCTACGGCAACCTCCTACTACATCTAACAGATGGCACTACACGTCTTAATAAAAAATCATTTCGTAAGAGACCTTTATCTAAACGTGAATGAAAGATAAAGCCAATGTTTTTTTTAATGTTTGCATGGCCTTTTACAAGCGGCCTTCGTTGAATAAACACTCACTTTCACCGTCACTTTTCAGTAAACAAAAATCCGGATATTTAATAACAAACACAATCTCTTTACGTTTTACTTACTCATTTGGGTGTAAACGAAGGTAATTCGGTTAAGCAACATAATGTAGTTCAAAACATTGTATTAAAATTGTATCTTAAAATATAAACAACACTTGAATAAAAATAAAAACATAATATTAAATTTAATCGCAGCGTTAACGATATAGGAACAGAATTCAAGATAGTTATCTGCTTACATTATCAGCTCTTTATCTTTCGCAAGTTCTAAATGTTTGTGAAATAGGTCAGTGGGCTAGGCTAGGCTAGCAACCAGTAGTTCGTAATTATCGCTAAGGAAACTCAATTGTGGTTTCTGTACTTGTTGCTGATATAAATAGTGCTACTACTAATGCTAGTACATTAACTTTAGTAGCTAAAAAGTAATCACACAATGACGTTAAAAGAAAATTTAGTCAAAAAGGAATGTTAAAACCAATCAGGAAGAACAAGATAATAGTTGTTTACAATACATATGTACATTATAAAAATATCTCAATCAGTCCAAGAATCAAGGTTGGTTCGTAAAGAAACGCCCGGCTGGCTTACATAATTCTACCCACACTAATTAAGCACGTACCGACCTAGAATGGCCGTCCACATTACGATCTTACTCGATCTGTACCGATTCTAGATTGTTGCTCTCTTAATGGTTTTTATGACAGTCATGTCACTGTAAAAGGAGGAATAGAACGACATAATTGTAACTCAATGTGTACTTATAAATAATTAGTATCTCGACATTTTACAAAAGTAATGGCGTGTTTTTGTGGCCATAACTTATTAGGGAATTGATTGAATCGATCGTTACATTTGTTGATAATAATTATTGCTCTGTCATTCTTACAATATTGCACCTTTGACGACATTGGAAAAATAAAGGCGATGCAATATTTTTATATTTTAGAATGTATACAAATTTTAACATGTGAAAGTTTGCAAGGGCATTTTAAGTCCGAAACTTACTTGTTTTGATATTAAAGACGCAAAAACAACAATAATTTCATCAGACTCGCCTTTCTCATTGCAAAAATGATTAAGGATATTGATGAACTTGAAATAAAAATAGTACTAGACGAGTTTAAATGTCACAAACACGAAATAGCTAAAGCAAGACATAATTTTAGTGCCAACAGCGATACAAAATTCGGATGTCAATTAATTGACCATATCAATCGAGACTGGTCCGTAAACGGTTTACGAAACGTTGTTGCAAGCCTAGAAATTGTACAAGCCAGCCACTATTGGACTACTGGAGCGTATGATTG